TGGGAGACGTCTCATTTTAATCAGAACTTTCCGGGCTACAATCATGCCTTATTAAGAAATGTGTTGGTTATTTTTTTAGAGTTTCTGAAAACTGATTTTCCAGAAAACCGGGTCTTCAAGATCCATGAGAATAAATCCTTTTAGGCTTTTTACTATCTCGATATAGGCTATCGATTGATGTATGTCTGAAAGAAATCGGGGTTGAACAGCTAGGAATGTTCCTTCGTCAGTCTAATATAGACATTCAGCGAAAACAGCTCAAATAAAATGATCGTCGCTAGGGTTTGACATTAAATGAAAGTGGTTAACGGTTCAATCGTGATTTTGTCAGTTTACAATCGATTCATTGAATCTTATTTTGACCATCAATCATAGATGTAATTTAAACAGGTATCTGCTCACATTTTGTTGTGAAAAATACTTCAATAGGCAATTAAAATTATATTTTATTTCAAACTCGACCTCAATAAATAATCAGCATGATACATTTGTTTCACAATCGCTTTTTCAATTACTATGAAAACAAATTTATTGAAATGGCATTTTAGCCAAGTTATTATCTTGAAGAAGGCCTTATTATCAAACGGCCATACAGCTAGTTAAACCAACACAAGTCGCTGAGCTAACAATTTTATGTTCAGAATATGTCTGATTAGAAAAAGACAGAATAACGAAAACAAACACACTTTGTTTGATTAAGAGAAAATATTGAGATGTTTACATCTTGGAGAGTTCAGAAATACTGAAAGGTTTTTGGTCAAAAAACACCAACAATCGTTTTTTTGATATTTTTCTTTTTGCACCAGAACGAAATATTCTCGATATATGAAAGTTACAGCCCAAATGGAACTGTGCGAATTCGAGCGATTCGAATATAGTTGTCAACATTGGTTGAATTTACGGATCGTAAAGAGGTAAATTCGAATAAAATCCATACCAAAGATACTATGTGGTACTTTGAAGCAACAGATTCTTATATTTCATTTTTCTAAACTATATAAGTAGCACGAAAGTCGAAAAGCATAGTGTTTTAATTGTCTCTCACTTTTAAACAAAAAAAATGAGATATCATTGCATAGCACATCGTGCACAGCAAATAAAGAACAAAATAGGACGTACAAAAGATAGAGTAAATACAAAGACTGACTCACTTAACATACAAAAGTTATCACATGTATATATATTTCACTTCAAAATAAAGGAACATACAAAAAGAAAGAAAAATATTCGATTAAACAGACATTCTCCAAACAAGTAGTTAGAAAAAACAGTATAGAAAAAAACGTTTTTATAAAGGCATTTGCGTGAATAAGTAAGAAACAGATTCACCATTATGGGTACGACGTATTGCTTCAGAAAACATCATTGACACATCGATTACCTGTAAGAATAGAAAAAGATAAACATTCTGGTCAGGTCATACTTTTTCTTGTTTAATCATAGTCATTCAAACAGCATAACATTTCTTGCTTACTTGCACTTTATTTGAATTTTTCATATTTTCATCTTGTGGAATCGTATTTGTAACAACAACCGCTTCAAATGGCGAATTGTTAATACGACTAATAGCTGGACCACTAAATATGCCGTCTAAATAAATAGCGGAGAAAAATGAGCCAATAACAATTATATAACAGAAGATCGAGAGACATACGTGAACAAATTGCATAAATTTTACTTGCTCCAGCATTTAACAGCCTAAAACAAGATTACACTCGCAAGCGCATCAATCAATTACCATAATCGGTATTTAGCATAGTTAATAAACTTATGTCTGCAGAATACATACTTTTGGGATGCACATTCAAATGTTCCACAAGTATCAGCCATATCATCAACCAATATAGCAATTCTGTTTTTAACATCACCCACAAGCACCATTGAATCAATCTCACTTGCACGTTTACGTTCTTTATGAATCAACGCAAAATCGATATTTAAACGATCGGCTATGGATGTAACACTTAAAAGAACACAAAATGCAGTTCATTAACAGGAAAAAGTCAGATCTTATGAACACTCATTCATACCGTTTTGCACCTGAAAAATATAAATGAGAGAAAATTTGTAGATTTGTTGTGATAAAATAAGACACACTTTATTACCTCCAGCATCTGGACTAACAATAACGGCATTTTTATAATCTTGGATATGTAACGATATCCATCTAATAACAGCTAAAAAGTAGAACAATCTTAATTATGTTAACGGAATCAATTCTTCTATGCTTCTTACCTGGCTCAGCAAACAAATTATCAACAGGTATATCAAAAAAACCCTAAAAACACCGATAAATACGATTTAATTATGACGTTTTCTAATCAAATCTAACCTGAATTTGTGATGCATGTAAATCCATTGTTATAATATGATCGGCACCAGATACACTTAACATATTTGCAACTAACTTAGCTGAAATTGGAGCACGACTCTACAAAGTTCATTAAGAAAATAGATGATTTAACTGTTCAAGACTTGGCTTTTTTCTTCAAACTAATCTTACTTTATCCTTTCTATCTTGTCTGGCATATGGAAAACACGGTATAACAGCCGTCACTCTCGATGCCGACGCTATTTTACAAGCATTTATCATAATCAATAATTCCATTAAATTATCGTTAATTTCACCACATCCACTTTGAACAATGAATACATCTTCACCACGTACAGATTCATTGATTTCAACACTGAAAATACAGAACTTAGATCTCATATGATTATCGCACAAGGGCTGTATATTTACCTTGTTTCTCTGTTACTAAATTTTTTTGTTATCACTCTTCCCGGTTCCAAGCCCAATCTGGCACATATTAATTTTGTTAATTCCGGATGTGACGAACCACCAAATACTTTGATATTAGGCATTCTTGATTTTAGAATAACGGGTGGTGTTGAAGTGGTTGTAGATGACTCTTGATTATTAAATGTTGTAGTTGTTGTGTTATAACTGAAATGGGTGATTGCTGATGAATTTGGTGATTTTGGCGAGTGGAGAGAACAATCGGGAATAGTTTTTTCCGTGTTGTTAGTGGTATTTACGTTTAATAATAATTGCTCGTCGTTGTTTTGCTGTTGCTTCAAATCGTGATGAATACTATTATGAGACAATCTATCATCTATAAACACACAAGAAAGAAAAAAAGTCTAGCAAAAACTAAACTATATAAAGACAGGATAAAAGCATAAAAGGGCAACTAGGTTATTCAAACAGAACGCATAAAATTTTAATATTTTGGGATAAAAACGTTTCATGACATTTAAAATGGTTGTTTCGTGAGGTCTTTCTGGCAACTCTTGAGTTTTTTTGCCTCAAAATTGACTTCTATAATCGATCTCTGATCAGGAAGTGACTTTTACAGTAAACAGGACAGATAGTTTGAACGATATGCCAGTTTGTGTCAAATTTTGCTCATGTGCTCCGTGTATGACACGCAAGCGATCAGTTTTTGAACAATTTATACATCAGTGAACAATCATTTTTACTAAACGATAGTGATAAGTGGTTAGTTACTGCAATAAAGCAGAGGAAACAATGGAATATGTCTTAATGGAAAAACCAGAATGAAAGAATTAATAGCAACTAAAGCAGCAACGGTGCTCTCTACCGGCTTTTATGAAAATTCCAAGTTTTAATACACACACGACTTTTGATATTCGCATTCGATCCATTTACCCACGATCTCACGACGCAGATTTTTTATCCGTCAGGGGATCAGAGTGGCTAATGTTCAGAAAAAAATAATAAAAAGTTGTGATGGGATCGGAATACACTAATTATAATAGGACGAGATGTTAATGAAGGATATTCTCTTGATTAATCACCAGTACATCAAGTAGTTGATGCATGCTTAAAATGAATCGAATCATCCCACTCCATGCACAAGCATCATCATCACTTACACAAATATTCATTATTTTGTTGTTCGTTCATTTCTGCTATTATTTTTATATGGATAATGCTTCAGTTAGATGAAAGATAGGATATATCTAACCTTTTAAAGAACATTATATAAATGTTTTAAATATTGAATAATAAAACTATTGAACAATATTTGTATATTAATAATAAGTATGCTATATATAGAATAGAAAAGAAAAGAAAAGAATGAAAGGGCAATGTTCATTTTTTGCAATCTAATGTATCGATACCATGTCAACGCACTAGAGGAAGAGAAAGTGAGCAAACGATTGAATGAAGGACAGATTAAAATTGACAAAAAACCTATATAAATTCACACAAGAAATAAATAACGTTCATATTTCAACTAAGGAAGAATAGACTTCAAAAGTATTATTATCAAATACTTAACAATGCTTATTCTCGTATCGTAAAGTTAACTAATAAAAAACATAATTATTCTAATGTTATGATGAAATTTGAGGAATAGATTCTTTCAAAAACTATATATTATTAATATTTAATGGTAATCAACTCAATGATTGTTTTAAAATTTCATGTTTCGATATTAGAGTGTTTCCTACTTTGCATACGTCATTTATTCAACAAGAACTTATTAGACGCATCTTGTAGCGTTCCGACCGAAACGATATTTTTCTCGTCATTTTTTATACGAAAAGCGTTTTGGAAAAATATAGCATTACATGTTTTTGCATTCGAGTAAAATTCATCGAAAGATTAGAAGAAACAAATTATGTCAACATAAAAAGAAAGCGCCATCGAAGCTTGTTTCTACTGCCGCAAGATCGAGCTGCAAAACACTATTTATTGAGTTACAATACATCGGCATTCGTGGTATAACGTAACTGAATGTTGCCTTTGTAGGAAACGTCTAGTATACGTAGGTGAAGGTTACCTCAGGTCTATTTGTGCGTTCGCATTATCTCTTCTAAAATATATAATATAATGCATGCACTTCTATGCATATATACAATAAATATGTATATCAAACATTAGGCTTTGGAATTTTACTAAGTACAGAGTTTGTATCGATAATTTACAGTATCGGAGAATGAAAGGGAGGGAGAGCAGCTAGTGTGAGAGTGCGTCAGAAGACAACATTTTACCACTATTTGAGGTGACGAAAACCGACTGTACATGTATTATATTATATATTATAGAAGAGATAATGAGAATTCGGAAACCGATCTAATCTAAGCTCACCAACATCACCTATCCTACGAGACAAGACATATAAGGAGACACATACAAGACCTACAGATCAATCACCAAGGTAGGGATGAAAGTCGGACACATAACCATCTTACTTATTACGCTTTGTTGAATGCAATTCCAGCAGAAGAATTTTCGAGAAAAGAACTGCCCAAAATGAATTCGCCCTGGTTGAAAATATGTCACGATCTTACGATGCATTCAATTTTCTATGCACTTTTCGACCATACTGTTAGATAAATTCAAAAGTGATGAAATTAGTACTTCTACATCTAGGATAAAGAGTACAATAAAAAATGAAAGTACACTGAGTCTCAAAAGTCACATTGTTTTTTCGTGAAAAAGATATGGATTCTTACATAACTTATCTCGGGCTACAAGATGTGTATAGTAAGATTTTGTCGAGTTGATGTGATGTGAAAAGTGAGAACAGCTATCCTAATATTTTATCTTAGTATACCCGATAGATATCAAATATGGTGGAAGCGACAGCAAGACAATGGCAGACTGATCGTCTATCCACTGACCTAAAGATATTATAATTTATGTAAAAGAATGTTACTCTCTGTATGTAAAAGGCGTACCGCATATGTGTTATTTCAAACGTTGTATTGAATGTCAAACGCAAAAAGATTTGAATATGTTTACACATATTCTCACGCATTATCCAAGTGGATTTTTACTTACTCATTCGCCAGAACCAGTTTTTTCTTCAAACAAAAAAATATACATGACTATAAGAATAAATTTGATTTGATTGAACTATTATACACACAAAAAAACAGATTTTTTTTTCATCCAAATACAAACAACAACATTTATTTATTAAAAAAAATATTGTTTTCTTTTCCTAGATAAACGAGCGATGAAAGACAAAAAAGAAAAAAAAATACTCCTATTATAATAGTTCATTTATTCATTTTTTTTTATTTATCAGCAAAGAAATGAGTAAAAAGAAGGACGTGATTTATTTTACGTTGAGTGTCGGATCGGAAAATAAGAAACGAAACAAGAAAAAAAAAATAGCGTCTTATTGTTTTTTTTTTCTGTATACTATTCGATTGAGATGTCTGACTATCAAAGCCATGAATGACTTTAATAAAAATTAGGCTGATATAAAAAAGATATAAAATAATCTATTATTTCAATCTTTTAGAGATCATTAAATCTTCGAATCTTATTGAATCCTTGTAAGATAACGGATATTAAGTCATATACTGGCAGACTTATAAGCAGATACCTATGTGTATGAAACATTCTTTATTCATCATTTATTAGGAATGTACATTTTTTTTCTCGAGATAAAAAAACATTGTTACTCAATAAATTCTGTGAAACAAATCATGAAAAAGATGCTCTAATTATAAAAGCTGAAATGAAACGAAAATAATTTTCTAGCTAATATAACTTAATAGAAATATACAGCTTATGAAATTAAACTTTTCGCATACGAATATAATAATAACATTCACCTATTGTAGTTTAAATGACATAAATATAAACAATTTCTTGTATTACAATAACAGACAATATCAAGGACATCATAAGAGAGAAATGGTTTATGATTATAAAGAGCCGATAACAAACAAAATACTATTTAATCTGTATATGTTTACAGTTTCTTCTCTTCTGCTTTTCTACGATGCAACAATAACAAAATTGTCAAGGTATATTATAACTAACCATAAAGCTTTTGGAGACAAACAACATTAGATGGCAGAAAAGAGGAAAAAAAACAAACGAATATTATAAAATAGTTTTTGACAACATCTTTTTGTCAACTCGACCTATACAAAAGAAGAAAAAAGTTTAACAACAACACAAAAGGGATGATGGAGGATACACAAACATATTAGACGTAATAAACAGTAAATCTGATTCTACACTAATTCTATTGACTCCCCTTAGGCATGGGATAACTACAATTTCTTGCAAGATTAACTTTATTGTTCAAGCATTCAGCATTACTGATACATCTTCTTTTCGCAAGGCATCATACACCTAAATACCAAACTGTTTAACAATAAGAATCCATAGTAAAATACTCAATATTCATCTCACTTTTATGAATTGTGTTACATTGGAGCACTGAGCAACTATATAAATTATATATGTTAGACGCGAAAAAAAAGTCAACATTTCTCTCACTCTTCTAATCTTTTTTTCTTCCCAGCCATCGTAACTACTAATCAAGAATTAATTAGAAAATATAAACAAATATGAATAGTGAATGAACAAATAAAGAAATTCGAATTTGTAAACAAATGCGTCATATATTAACTAAAAAGAGCTGAAATAAAATAAAATGATTAGCCAATGAAATGGAACAAGAAAAAAACATTTGAAAATTTGCTATCATAGAGAATATAGAGTATACTGTGACATCTCTAGAAACATTCAACATTCTGTGTTCAATGGTGGATTTAAGCCAATCAACATCAGTGAAAAGTGAGTCATTCAACAGCACTGACACGCGCTCGCGACACCCGCAGAAAAAAAAAGAATTAGCAAATATTTAATTGTTACATAAATTTAAATTGTGCGTGTTCTCCATACAGCATTTGGACACCTCTTCTTGTCTGCAACGTTATTGCTTCATCTAATAACGAATTAGATACTTTCTTCTAGATATGCATGCAACAGTTTCAGTTAACCAGTAACCAAAATCGATCATGATCGATAACGGATATAATAAAACAACTTTTTTACTTTTACATATTCTTGGAAACATATTTGAAATAGTATGAAGGAAACATTCAGCACAAACATTTCCTGATATTTCCCCCATACTATTTCAAATGTATTTCCAAGAATATGTAAAAGTAAAAAAGTTGTTTTTATTATATCCGTTATCGGTTAATCGATTAAAAACCAAAACCGATGCATGCCTACTTCTAAGTGAATGTGATCCTCTTTTAAACATAAAAAGGACGAAGGTTTGAGTGAATAATTAAGCAGCTAATCTCTAGAAGATTATTGCATTTATTTTCTTTAACTCAAGTCACTTGCGCAGTATTCTTCTTTTTTTTATTCAACTATTGCTGACTGAAATAATCTTCCAGAGTCAGTTATGCGTCTTTCTTCTTTGATGTCTTTCAAAACAGCTTTACTTCAATATTTCTTCTAGTGAAACGTTAGTCAGTTAAGAAAATCTTGTTAGCTTCTTTCTTTCTGCTTTTTACCTGCATTCATACTTGTTCTTTTGCTTGTTTTTTGTAAAAGTTTTTTTACTACTGGTTCTAACCTTAGTTGTCTTCTTTATTTTGTTCTTTTTTATTACTCTTTTGGTGTTGTTTGGCTTGAGTCATTGTTATTACAGGTCGGGGACCTTTGATGACTCTCACTTTCACCATTCGCTGCAGTTGTGCATGAGAGTGAGGATGTGATTATTCTGTGCAAGTACCCAACTTAAAACTACTTACATAATGAATTCTTCTACTTCAAAATTTCTGCGCAATAACATTTGCTTTTCTTCTTGAATCGAAAATATTGCAATTTTTGTTAAGCACTGTATAGTTGTTTGCATGAAAAAAAAAATGACACATATTCGTATGCTTCATTTGAAAATGTTTTCTTTTAGATTTTTTTAATTCCTTAGTCAGTTCTATGAATTATTGAACATGTAACAACAAAAACGAATAAGATGAATTCTGGAATATATAATACTTTTCAACCTAATCCTCATTACGTCGATCCTGCTGAGTAAGTTAAATTTTTATTGATTGTTTTCAATGAGCACTTATCATAAACATCTTGTCAAACTTTTACAATATTGTCTTTTAATAAGTGCTCTCGTACTCACCGTCTCTGCAAAGGGGAATGTTTGCTCAAAGAGAATACGATTTTTAATTACGAAAGCCTTCATCCATTACTTTCGTCGAAACATTCGATAGAGTTTTTTTGCTTATGAATGTGTTTTAGTCATACAGAATTGCTTAAGACTCTTTTCTACTAGTGTTCAGTTTTTACATGTTAACGTTTTCTAATTTGTTTGAAAGATCAACTAATATAAATATACTATCTCCAAGTTTCATTTGTTAATACTCGAAGTTCTATGGTCCTTTGTTTGTTGTTTACTCTAGTGTTTTCAATGCTACTCGCCGTAACTTCTATGATGTATTTTTCAAGACAATTGCTGATCAACGTTTGCCATCTACCTCGTCATCAACCGAAAATATTTTATGTCAAAGTCTTGTTGAAAATCATTCCAACGATGACAAAACGCTGTTATCCACCGAGTCCTCCACCGAGTCCCCCTCTAAAGGCAGACACGCTTATTACATGGCAAAACTGCGCTCGGAAAATACAGAATATCGTCGTATTGAACGTGAACGCAATGCACAAGCAATGGCTAAATTACGTTCAGAAAATCCTGTTTATCGTCAACAAGAACGTCAGAGAAATCGACTAGCGATGGCTAAATTAAGAAGTAATCCACTGTATCGTCAACAAGAACGAATGCGGAATGCTCAAGCTATGGCTCTTAAGCGAAGCGGTTCAATAACAAATAAAACATTTGTACATGAATCGACCGAAATAAAGCCGTACCATTTTCAGGTACTTGAAACAAATTTAAATTCGTCTCATATCTCGTTTGTACCTTATAAAGATAGTTTAATATCAGTACCAGAGACGTGTTGTACACCAGATAAAACATCACGTCATGCGCTTGAAATGGCGAGATTACGTTCGAATCCAGAATATCGTCAACAGGAGAGAATACGAAATGCAGCTGCTATGGCACTCAAGCGTCAAATTGATCCATCATACGGGAAAAAACATCGTCGAAGAAAACAGATGGAAGAGGAAGAACAACGACGTGAATGTGTATTACTAAAACACATTGATATTTATTGTAGACAAAGTACAGCTGTTTAGAGACAGGCACAGTATTTGTTATGTTCTTTTTAACTTTGTTTTTGTTTGTACAGATATGTGAAATATGGTGCGCTTTCAAAGAAAAATCACATCTTTTTTCCTTTTTGCTACCTCTACTTTATGCGGCCAGGAGCATAATATTACCCGCTTGTTCTGTCGAAAGAGTTATCACTTACTCCTCGCTCTTTTGGGTGGAACATCCTGTTGATCTATCGAATGCCTTAAAAGTCGTGTATTAGAGATAACTCATCTACACAAGCATTGCAGTATATTCATTCACTTATTTTTCAATGTTCCTCAGTATGCAGATACTCTAAGTTGGACAAGTGGATATGCTTATTGTATGTAGCATACCATTTGCATTAAGTAACAGAGCGAGTTGGAATGTTTGCTGTACTTCTCAGAAGTTTTTCAGAGATGCCTGAAAATGAATATAGTTGGTATTAAAATTCATTGGTCGACTTTTAAGGGTATCACTCCGAGACATAATAAAAACGTTAATAAGGCGGGGGGTCGATAAGCGGCAAAATCGGCCCCCTC